GTAGGGAGTGAGATCAAACATTAAGGCTAAAATTACCTAATTAGTCCAAAACAAGTTTTCAAGAAATAGAGAAACAGAAGCAAAATGCATAAGGAGTGTGAAATAAATAAGATGATGATTAAACTCAGCAGTACCAATAACTTCATTAAAGCTAAGCACAATTGAAGGGAAAAATTAGATTGAATTTAAAGGTGTAATATTTAATGATATGCTGTTTAAAATCATAGAACCACATACATAGTACAAACATAAATAGAACTCTGGAGTCTCCAAAGAAGCAAAATATAAATACAGTGGTACCTCAGTTCACAAACTTAATTCTTTCCACAATTCTTGTCGCAAACTGAATTGGTTGAGAATGGAATCCGGTCAGGTTCAGTGTTGACCTTGTGGGGGAATTTGATCTGGTTCCCATTCAATTCAGTTTGGGACCAGAATCTTCGAGAGAATTGAGTTCATGAACTGAGGCACTACCCTAATAAATAAACAAATAAACAATAATATATGTATATATTTCTATATAGTTATATATTATCTGCAATCTACAGATTATGTGTACTACTGTATACAAATAGACACAGACAAAGACATATGTACAGAAGTAGGTTTATTCCAGGACTTAGCTCATGGGATTGTAGGGCTGTCCAGTCTGAGTCTGTAGGTGAGTGGACCAGCAGGGTGGCCAGCAGAGTGGACCTCAGGCAAGGGCTGCTTCTGGAGCTGCCCACCCATGTCCTTGGGGAGAATCTCCCTCAATCACAGTCCACTGGTTGTTGATGTCACGCAGTACTTCCACTAAGTACCTTCAGAGCAACAGCCAGATTAGTGTTTACTCAAGTAGCTGGCTACCATAGTCCAGCCAATTGATAGGTGAAACTTGCCCCCCTCAGCAGTCACTACAATGTGTGTGTAGAAGTTCGGGGCAGACCACAGATGATGTGAAAAACACCCACCAGTCAGTCTGTGGACTAATGGTAGAACACTACCAGAAACACCTGCAGAATGCACACGCTTCACGTTTGTGAGCCTCACTCACCGGGAAGACTACACTGGGTGGTCAAGTAAGGCTCCAGAGTTCAGAAGATGGGCAACCAGCCAGAACTGTGCAATTCATAGCCATCCACAATTGTCTTCTCACGTGCAGACCGTGGGTGAAAGGGTCTGCAGGACTCACCGGGTTACTTAGGAAAGGCCCTTTGCACAGTGTCTAGTGTGGGTTCCGTAATAACAGAATCTCGGTCATGAAGATGATGATGGTGATGGAGAAGGGGCAGCAAGCAGTGTGTGGGGCAGGAACCGTGAAGAAAGAGCAGCCCACGGGAGACAGGAAGGCAGCAGAGGTCAGCGTGCAATTCCGCCTCAGAGGCGGTAATCATTCATCCAACAACTGCCACCGTGCCGAGCGCAGGCCAAGTTCTTGCGGTTCATGGGGGAAACACACTAATCAAGAAATCCCTCCACGGAGAGGGCAGGAGGCACAGGTTATGGCTCCCTGCGAGCATGGAGGAGGGAACACAACACAGACTGGGGAGAAGAGGTTCCAGGGAGGGGCGGGAATGTGTGGTGGCCCCTTGGACATCTGAGGGACAGGGTGGAGCTGGCGGGTGTGGCCTCCTGCAGACCTGCTCTGTGGGGTCCTGTGCTGAGGTCTCCCCAGACGGGGTCTCCTGCACCCTAAACAAGAGTGCTCCCCTCACTGCACGCAGGAAGAACTCATCATTTCCCTACAGCCATGCCTAATTCGCCAGCTGGCTTTTCGTCATTCTTTTTCAAGAATCACAAGATGAGTAAGGAGTTCACACATGTACAAACCACATGCACACAAACCTTTGCAGCACATGTGACAATTTGCTGACCCCCTCCCCGTGAAAACATCTGTTTCACATCTGCCCTACCTTCAGAGTCTGCAACAAAGACGGGGACCAGAACTGGACAGAGTCCCAGCTTCCTCTGCCTTCAGGAGCAGTGTAGCAAAAGGAAATAGATACTTCCTCTCTCGTTCGCAGAGGCTGTTAGAAGCACTGTGTGTGCACACAGACACGCGTGCAAATAAAGCACACAAAGTGTGGAGATCACGTGGGTGCAAAGGAGGATTAGGTAATTCTGGGGGAATGTGCTACACACTGTCCACCCCAGTGCGGGCTCGGCCAATGTCAGGACATAACCCAAGCCCCAGGAAAGACTGGGCTGTGATGGGGACAGTACAAAGGGGTTGGAATCACACGCTATCAGAAGAAGGGCCACTGTCATTTATTTAGTTGGCTCTTTTGGGAGGATGAGAAAGGGATGAGAAAATATAAAATTACTATGAGCCAGGCAAGGGAGCCCACATCTGTACTCCTAGCTATTCGGGATGCTGAGGCAGGAGGATCCCTTGAGCACAGAAGCTCAAGACCAGCCTGGGCAACACAGCAATACCTCATGTGAATTAATCGGAGGCAAAACAAAGCAGATGATGGGCGATCGGGCCGTCTGGTCTGGAGGGGTGCACAATCGGAATTTCATAAGGATTTGCCAGGCAGCAGATGGGTACTGGAGGAAGCGAGTCACACACATGAGCTTCAGCAGGAGCCCTTTGAAGACACCCTGGAGACCCCGTGCTCACACACTGGAACCTGAATAATCAGACCCATCTCATATAGAGAGTAGGACCTTCCAGGAGCAGGTACTAATCGGTAGCCCCTTTCTGCGCTGACCCTCCAATAGCTCTCAGAGTTACTTGGGCCACGAGTCTTTCAGTATCAGGGTCATTCCCCACACAAGACCGCACGCAATGAGAAAGGCTTAGCAACAGCCAGAAGTTGGCCTCCAGCCTTAGAAACTAACTTTTCTTGTCACCTTGAATAACTTGTTTCCTTTTTCTTTCTTGGAAGAAAAAAAAAAGGGTATATTTAGGGATTTCTAAGCTGCCTCTCATGGTGACCAGGTCTTATTATAAGTTTCCATGAAGGAAATTATTCTCGGGGATTGGAATAGATGGAAAGAGGTTAAATGCCTGCCCACTGCATTTATAGAGGCAAAGCCTCTGCATTCACCGAGGGGCCCAGCTCCTACAGCCTGGCACTGGGTGTCTGCACCCATGCTACAGTCACTCCACACGGTCTGTTTTCCTCCCCAAGCTGAGCTGCAGGCTGTGTGTAGCCCCAGCCACATGGGTCGGGGCACCTTGGATGGCACCGTGCTTTCAGAGGAGCGTGAACTCTCAGGTTCCTGTGAGAGTCTCACCAGTGCTCAGTCAGCAGCTTTGAGCCTGCTTCACTTGCTGTGCCCATGCCAGCTTCCTGTCCGCTGACACGAGGGACTGGGGTTGGCTCAGCTGTGCACAGCCGACACCTCACACCTTGCTGTTTGCTGTTTGCTGGCCAGTCTGTTCTTTTCTCTGTGATCAGCTCTCTCAGTGCCCTTGCTTTTTTGTTTGGTTCCTTACTGTCTGCAAATCACTGCTGTAGAGAGGGAAGGGAATTGTGCTGTGCTCCCCGAGGTGCTGGACCTGAACTCTGGGAAGACATGCTTCCCAGAAGGAGGCTTTTAAAATGCCTTCTCAGGACAGTAAGGCCACAAGACATTCACGTGGTCACCTGAGTACAGAAAGCTGGGTTTGGAAATCAGGAATCAGTCCACAGAATCAGCCACTGCTTTCTTTAATGAGTTTTCTCTCTTCCGAAGGGAGACTGCAGGGCATAGGGTGAGTGCTGCGGGGCCCTGGACACTGACAGGTTCAAACACACGAAGCCCAGGACCGCCATCCCTCTGGAACTTCCTGTTTGCTCACCTGCAAAATCAGAATAGTAGCACAGAGCAGAGTTATTCAGTCCCAAGGAGATAGTGTGTGTGAAAGTGTGTGGAACACAGCTGTGTACCACAGCTGGGCTGGGACAGAAAGTTCGCGGGTGATGCTCAAGACATTTCCGCTGCCGGGCACCCACTGTTAGGTTCCTGGGGCCTAGGCACAGGAGCCTTGGTGCCCACGTACTTTCTCCTGCCCAGCACTGTTCCAGGGCAGGGCTCTGAGGGGTGTGGGGGGCTCAGCAGGGGAATGGAAGACTGTTGCTAACTTTACCCACGATATATTTAGAGGAACTTCCCATGTAAAATAGTCCCTGTCTCCCTCCATGCCTCCCGTCTCCCAGGGTTCCTTAGGGGTCGTGACCTCCCTGCCCTACTGACTCCCCAGTGGAATATGGTGCCAGGCACTGCTCCCCAAACACCTGAAGCCTCTTTTCTTTTACCTGAGTTACAGATTCATTGACCCAGACTTTTTGGAAATGTTGTTATTAGAACTTTAATCACCCATGTCCTCCTTTTCATTTCTTTCTAAAATTGCTTTCTGGCCATAATAATGATGTCAGTCACAGCCCAGTCATGGGGAGCCATGGCTCCCAGGCTGAAGCAAATGGCAGCTCCAGCCACCAGACCTGTGAGCTGGCTGTAGTGGTCATGCTGTTTTCCCACCTCTACTCCCAGTCTCTGACCCACAGTCAGTGTCACCTAACGGCCAGGGCAGGCTCCTAACCCAGCCTGACTTGGTTTCCACTGCTGGGCTGCTGTCACAGCCAGATTCTGGAGTCGCATCTTAGCTCCGGCTCTGACGCCACTCTGACCACAGTCAGCAGTACTGCACACCCCACTTTCGTCAGCTCTGTCATAGCAGGGCAGCCAAATGGCTCCTTTCTGTCTTGCAATCTTTTATTCCGTCAGCAAACATGTACTGTGTGCCCATTGTGCTGGGTGTTGGGACTACAGTCTGTTCTTAGGGGTAGGGATGCAAGGCGGCAGGAATCTAAAGCACAAATCACACTGAGAGGGAGCAACACACACGGAAACTCAAGAGGCCGGGGAAGGGCAAGGCAGTAGCTCTGAGTGCCTGGCTTGTGAGGAGCAGCCTGGGAGCCACCAGGTGTGTGGGGTGGCAGGGACCCTGGGAGGAGAAGCCGGGGAGCGAGTGTCCCTGGGATCCGGGCAGATCCTGGACTGGCAGTGCAGGGAGAGCCTTGCCTGTGCCTGCAGTGACGTCCAGCTCCGCCCGAGTGGCCCAGATGTGCCCACCAGGGGGGACTCTCGCTCTTCAGGGCTCTCAGCTTGGCTGGGGAGCACGGGTCCAGAGAGGAAGGAGAAAAGGAACAATGATTCCCTCTCCGCCTCTCTGGCCTGATGCCTGATGGGAGAGGCTGCCAACCACCTGCCTGAGGAGAGGATGAGACCCAGGAGCAGGTACAGGATGAGTTTGCATGGTTAGAATGTCTACACGGCAGGGGGAGTCGTGTTCACATGGCAGGAGTCCTGTCCACACGGCAGGGGGAAGTCGGAAGCAGTGCTACCGCAGGACCTGCCGGAGGTGAGGGATGCTCTGTAGGTCTCGCAGGGAGGAAGAGCGTCACTGACCCCCCAGGGCTCACACCCACACTCAGTCCAGGCTCCCTCTCTGTGTCCCTGGGCTGCACTGCGGAGGCCTGGATCTCCGAGACCCTCGCTCTCCCCTGTGGTCCTCGCCCCCCTCCACAGGAGCGGAGGCCACCTGTGTCCTGCTCCCTCGCCTTTCCCACTGGCGGGGCCGGGCCCTGCCCTGGCCATGCCGTCTGCGCAGTGTGACCACTGCCACTTCCCTCGTGGGTTCACATCTCCCCTCAGCAGCCCACGACCGCCATTCTGAGGTCCCTGCCCCCACGTTGCTGCCCGGTCCCAGGTGCTCCACCCAAGCCTCCCCCCACCTCGGTCTCCTGACATTCCTGTCACTCCAGAGTCACCTTTCCCAGCCGATTCTTACCATCCCTGCCCCTTCCCCCCTCACTTCCTGACCGTTTGGCCCCCTTTCCTCCTCCGCAGGGCCCCGAAGATGGGCCCCGAAGATGGGACCCGAAGATGGGACCCGCTGTGAAAGTGTGTTCCTGGGCGCGGAGCTTCAGCTCTGCCTAGATTACCCTCTGCACAGTGAAGACGCTCGGACGGGGCACCTCCAAAGCCAGGTATAGTTTGCGTCTAGAAGAACACATTGCACATGTGGCTTGGGCTCTGGAGATACAGAGGGAATGGACTTAGAAAACAGGAATCCACTCAGGAACTGGACAGCGACGAAGACACTTGTTGGAAGGAGATGGCAGATGCCTCGGGCTGTGCGTCTTTATGGGCCAAGCCACTGGGCACCATGGACGCTCTAACTTTGGATCTGGACTGGCACAGACCTCACCTGAAGTGTGCCGTAGGCCACACTGGCTGCTGGCTGAACACACGAGCCAAGTGGGCTGCATGTGGCAAGCGGCAGAGGGTGGCAGACGAGACCTCCTACACCTGCAGAGAGGGAGCCAGTTCTGGTCTCCCAACTGTTTCTGTAGACTGGCTTCTTCTAGAGCCACCCGATGGTCCTTATGCTGAGATTTTACAGTAATTCCACCCACGCCAGTTAACTGGGGAAGGCGGGAGAAAGGAGAAGTCAATAACCATATGGTGTCAACATTAATCCTAGGTTGAAAGTGGCTTTCCTTATTACATGCTGTCAAGCTGGGAAAGCAGTCTGCTTAGCCGGAGACTCCAGATGAGCTCAACACTCACTCAGATCTGCAGATCAAGACTGGATGTACGTTTGGGGGAAAGCGAACACACCCATCTCTCTCTCCCCATCAGGCTGCAGGGACACAAATCAGAGGCTCAGATACATATCTTCACCTCTATCTTTCCAGCTTCCAGATTGCTCTAGAATCCCTGAGTGGGAAGACGTGCTGGGACTTTCTGCTTTCCTCTAATAAAGGGTGGGGGGAAATTTGTTTCCTTTTTATTAGTATTCCTATCTTAAGTTCCTTAAATGTACCCCTATTGCCTCTTCAGGGGAATTTTAAATTCTTGGAAGTAAAGACACTTGAAGGGGAAGGTGAACTCAATTAAGACACCATCGGTAAGACGGACAGGGCTAAATGTTATCTGACACCATGCTTGTCCCTTGGGCTTTGCTCTCTGACCTTATCCACTGAAGGGGAAAATGGTGTATTCGTCAGAGCTTCCAGAGAAACAAGGCGGAGAAGACTGGGTGCACCCGTTCACAGACAGAGAGATCTGCTCAAGGAATGCGGGGGCCTGTGGAGGCTGGTATGGCAGGTCACAGTCTGCAAGGGGGACCCACAGGCCCGGGGCTTGGAAGAGCCAGGGTGCAGCCGGCATCCAAGCACCAGCTGATAACATTCTTCCTTGCTAAGTTGGCTTCTAGCCAGGCTTTCTCCTGATTACATGAGGCCCACTGACCTCATGGAGGACAATCTGCTTTGCTCAAAGCCAAAGATGCCCTGGCAGAAACAACCAGAATGGTCAGTCAAGCTGACACATAGAGTTAAGCATCTCACATGCAAATCCCCCTGGATTCAACACACTCAGGGCCAAGGCCTTGTCCCATGGGGGCGTGGAGCATGAGCCGCTCCCTGTGCCGTGGGGTCGGAGGCGTCACCTTGGGGGTCTGCTGGGTTTGTAGACAGTGGTGCCAAGCATGGGTGGATGCTGTGGCCGTGAGCGGCTGTCTGCTCCAGACCCCTCCTGTGACCAGGCTGTCCTTACGCACTCACCCTGTGAGCAGAAACCCCTTTCCTCCTCATCCCGGCTGTGACTGCCCAAACCCAGCCTTCCCACCCTGATGCCAGAAATACAAATACCCACTGTGCTGCCCGGTCCTGCCTGTCTGTACCCAGTCCTTCCCTCCTCCGTTCACATGGCCATTTCAGTGGTTAGAGGGTGGCCAAGGGGGCAGAAGTCTGAGCCCAGGGTCACAGTGGGGAGAAGCTTACAGGACAGGGCCCTGATGTCATAGAGGGTCCCCAACCTCTTGGCACCTCCACCCTGTGCAGAATGGAGCTGTCTCTGTGGGCCTGGTCATGCTTTTAATCCAGTTTGAAGTTTGTGCTGGAGCCCCTCTTCCTGGGGATGGGCACTGCATGCAGAAGAAAGGAGGTGGCCCAGAGCCCTGCTAATGATGACAGGTCCCAACGAGTCCCAGAGGAAGGTGATTTGTGCCTGGCTGCTGGCCTGCCTCTGCCCGGCCACTTCCAGATCCAGTCTGTTTATTTGTGCCAGCCCCCCTCGGAGGAGGCCGCTACTGGAGCTGAAAGGCTGGTGGAGTCCAGAAGAAGCCACCTGCTTGATTCTCAAGTAACTTCAGCAGCCCTGGACTCGTCTGGGCACCTGCGTGTGTAGGGTGCTTGGGCTTGCAGCTGGCGGCCTGCATGGGCCAAGAGCACACAAACAAGCACAACTCAGAGTGGACCTTGACCCACCTGCGGATGGTGGCGTCCTTTGCTGCATCGTAAGCCAGGGCCCCTCTGAGTGCCATCCCTGGGTGGGCCTTGAGCAGGGTGTGGGCAACCATCCCAGAGCCACCACAGGCAGGGCTTCTGGGGTGCTGCTCCCCGGCCATCTCAGGGGCAGGGGACATATTTCCTTTCAGAGCACCTGCCAGGGACAAAGAACTTGTTGACTTCCAGTGTCCAGCATAAAATGCCTTTTTGATGACAGCAATTCACAGCATCAGTCAGGTGCCAGCAAATGTGCAGGAAATTAACACCAGGAAGTGTATGCTTCTGGGGTCTCCAAGAAGAATGATCCTGAAAATGTAGTTGGGTCTGGAATGACCCCCAAAGATCCATGTCTTCATCTCCAGAGATAAATGTGGTCCCAGCCTGTGAGCTGCTGGGTGGTGGTGGAGACTTCAGGCGGTGGGGCCCAGTAGGAGAAAGTGAGGTCACTGGGGGTGGGGCCTTGGTGGGGATTACGGGACCCCAGTCACTTCCCATTTCCTCTGCTGTGTGCTGCTGCCTTACCACAGGCCCAAAATAGCAGAGCCAACCAACTAGGACTGGAACCTCTGAAACTGAAGAAAACAAACCTTTCCTCCTTTCAAGTGGATAACCTTAGGTGTTTTGTCACAGCTAACACAATAGAGCAAAGGGAGATACTGTACCTTCCCTCTGCTGAAAATAATGAGCAAGAAGAAAATGTCGTCCTATGCCTCAGGACAGTTGCAATCGTAGGGTCCTGGCTGACCACAGCAAATGTGTGTGGATTATAAGGAATTGTAATGAGGAAGACAGTGATATGGCCATAGATGTCAGGGAGAAAGAAGTTGGAGTTAAAAATGTAAAGGGAGGATATGGTAACAAAATCCCCAAGTGACCAATGAACACTGGGGTTCTCTTGAGATAAACACCTGGTGAGCATCTGCATGAATAGCTCAAAAGGGGGATTGAATTACAGACTTCAGAGGTCCCTACACTTCCAGTTAGCAAAGAAAATGAAATCGGTGGCTAAAAGCCAAGCGTCAGTTGAGTCCAGGAATGCATCTGGGAAAAACACAATTCAAGGTGTAACCACTCTGCGGTCTGCATGCTTGTGATCCCCAGGTTTCTAGATCAAAATTTCAAGGCCTAAGGTAACTATGTGGGGTTTGCATGTCCTTCTTGCACTGTGGGAACAGAGCCCTCTTGAAGGGTGGGCACCCCTATAAAGAGATCCAACTGGCCCTGGCGCTTCCTCCATATTGGGAAACAGGGACCAGCTGTCACCGTGCAGCCTGGGGGCAGCGCTCAGCAAAACTCAGCCAGTTGGCCCCGAGGGCTTGGATGTCCAATGTCCAGAGTGGCAAGAAATGACCTTCAGCTGTCCTTGAGCCACCGCTTCCGTGGTACTGTGCTTCGGAAGCCACGAGCCTGGGGCGGTGAGCACCGGGAGAGCACTGCGTGCCTTCCTCGGCGCCTCTCCTCTCACTCATGTGCTCACCAGGTCTTCAACCTCACACCGTCCTGCACACCTGGGCAACACAGTCCGATGCGGTCTCGAGGCCCAGAGACCCAGGCCCTGACGGCGTCTCCTGGGCCTGACAAGCAGCTGCTCAGCTGGGAGGGGATGGCTTGAGGGTTTCTGAAGCAGCCACACAGGAAATAATGAGAGGCCATTGTCTCGGGAGGGTGCTCCCGGATCTCCACGGCTGGTGAGTCGGCTGTGGTTGGTTACTTGGTAATGTGGGTGAGTTTTTGCAGACGGTCCACAGCCTCAGTCAGAATTCTAATAGGGCAGCAGACGTCTGTGAGGTCAGTGGAGGAGCTGCCCGGGAAGGGCACTCACTGTCCTCATGAATACAGGGAGCTTGTGAGTTGCCCGCAGTCAGTCCCTTCTGGGTGGTGGGGGAAGGCAGGGCTGAGTTCCATGGTGCTTGTTGTCCTTGTAAGACAGGGTCTCATCATGTAGTCCAAGGCGGCCTTGAACACACAATGATCCTCCTGACTCAGCCTCAAGAGTGCTGAGGAGATTACAGGTGTGCACCCCCACCTGGCTTGGGCCTGACTTGAGCAGAGGGCAGAAGCCAGGCTGAGGCCACACACAGCTGGAACGTGTCGTCTCCATTGTCTGGGCCTCAAATTGCCACACAGGAGGAACAGGCGACAGACGTGAAAGCCACAGAAGACCCCGAAGGAAGCAGGGTCTCCTGAGCGAAGCCTCCACCGCCGCATCCGTGTCCAGGATGGAGGGTGAGGTGGGAGTGGAGCCACTCGCCTTGGGGTCCCGTCTCTCCCTCGGGGTCACCTTCACAGAACCAGTGGCCTACACAGGCTCTAAAGTCCCGTGCAGACCCTGCGCTGTGTGGTTTTGGCAGCTTCAGCATCAAAGTGACCTGAAATTGTTGAAGTAGTTCGGTTCTAGAGCAGCATGTCCTGCCCTGGTCCATCTCCACAGAACCACAGGCCCTGCTCACGCTGCTGTGATGAAATACACGGGACAGACTTCTCAGGGTTCCAGAGGCTGAGCAGTTGCAGAGGAAGCTGCAGGCTGTTCCTGATTCCCCGTCTGGCTAGCGCCTGGTCTCTGCTTCTTCACGGCACCTTCCCAGGGCTGAGGGGGTGGGGGTGGAAGGGAGGAACCTGTGTCTCACCCCATCCACACTGTGGCAGCCCCTCTCCGGGTCCGCCCTTAGCCCTTCCTTCCTCCACCTGGGGCTTGTGTGGGAAGGGACTGCCACGGTGACCCTCCCTGACCCCACGACCGCATCACTGCCCCACACTTCCCTGTGCACAGCTGGCCCCCACTCGATGCTGACAGAATAGCTTTCTCATCCTGGGAGTTAAGATTGTCACGTGTTCTCAGAGCGTCTGACTAAATTCTGCAATCTCCTGACATCCACTTTGACCTCAAAGATTATTCTGAAGACATCATCCCAAATGCTTCACCTATGTGCACATAGGGAAGTAATTTAAATAGTATGTTTTTTGACACTATCCATCTTATATCTTATTTCTGGGCCCCAGTTACCTTCATCTCAAGCTGATTGCTTGCGATATTTGCAGGAACAAAGCATTGGCCCAGTGTGGTTAGGATGGCACCCAGCTGTGGTGAGGACGCTTCATTGCTCTCTGGGCCTAAAAGTGCACATGGAGACTGCTGTGCACAGCTCAGGTTCCTTGCCACTGGCTGGATGCACTGCAAGTCTAAACATGCAGGCAGCATTTCTGGTGTTTTCAGCGCTGAAACTGGACTCAGAAACAGAAGCCACATCTCTTTGTCGGGTACAGAAGGTGCTCAGAAGTGCCTAGAAAGAAACACCTATGTGTAGTGATGTTTTTCTACCACTCTATTATCTGAACATAAGACACACACATAGAGCTGCCTAATTTTAAGTATTTTTTTTTATTGAGTTTATTGGTACATTTAGGGATACAGTACAGTTACATTTATTGTTGGGATCATGTACCTTTACACATG